ACTGTAACAGTCGCCGGCGCTTGCGTACGGTATAAACTCTCCGTGCTCGATCAGCGCGAATTGCTTGTCATAGGCTACAAGATGGCGGTAAATTTTAAATCATGATGCTCAGGCTACAAAGCCTTACGGTTGATTTTCATATTATGCAGATCGATTCGCACTTTTCTGAACCTGGTTAAGCCAGGTCGGGGTATGTTTTCAATAGAACATTCGCAGCTGTCGTTCCTTTGGCCATTATGAGGGCAAGTGAACGGATAGAGAAGTCTACAAGAGCATCAATGAATGTAAGAATGAGGAAGTGGTGTCGATGCGCGTTCACTGGACGCCGGTACGAACCTGTACGGATAGAACTCTGCGAAATTGTTTCGGAAATCGATCGACAACGACAGATATTCCTTCGGATGATGGGTGTTCATGCCGAAGCAGTAGATGCTAACCCTCTGGCCATTGACCAGTACGTCATAGGTGCCGTCGGTATCGACTTTGCGGTTTTCTCTGATCTCGGCGCAGTCCCTCGGCTGGCCTGTAAAATTAAGGCTCACGTTTATAGCGGTTCCGTTGCATAAACACAGCGAGGTGGGGACAAAAGACGAAACTCACAGCTGCTCCGCATGCACCGGCGACGCCTTCTTGGCCTCAGACTGGAGTCGCACTGGTTTCGGTCAACTTTCTTGCCGGCACGACTGACGCAGCGCAGACGTCGAACCTGTACGCCCCAGCCGCAAGTCACCGAACACTGTATAAACACAACACGTACAGAAAAGGAAGGCGAAGGCGGCGAGGCAAACTGCTAACCACTACCTCTGACCATTCGTCGGCCTGCCAATAGAACTCGGCTTCGCAGGATCCTACAGAGCAGTGACGTCTGGAGACAGGCTGCGGCAGTGCGGCACAGTGGCTGACTGGCACTTCTACGCCGTTGTTGTCCACATTTTTATTGACACACGACATCGTGCGATACTGTTCGCCGGTACCACATGTTTTAGAGCACTAAAACAGTCCATATACACATGCCAAATGGGAATTTTAGTCTATTTTTATTCGTAACAGTTTACCAATACAACACTGAAACGTAGCAAGTAGACAGTCTAATTTAAAATCGAAATTGAAAATTCGATTGGCAACACCAATAGTTTCCGGTCGGTGTTTCCGAAAGAGGTATATGACCTCCACAACTCGAATTACACATTAAAGAGATATAGAATTAAGAACGAACAAACCGATATAATTTTGGATTCGGTAATAAACATATGGTTCATTTATGTCATATAAATGCATTCTGTAGAAAATGATCTTGAGGAGGCAGATGACCAGAAAACAAAATCCTCACAGCATTTTTGCGTCTGATTACGAAGACTAGACCATGGAAAATTATTTTTTTAAATGCCTGTTACAGAAGTTCTATGTAGGCAAACCTGAAACTCGGTAAAATACACCGAAGTTCGAAACACTACCGTTTATTCACTTATAAATCTTCAGAGTGAGGCAATTTTACAAAGCATCTACTGCAATAAAACTGCAGAAATTTGAATGCAATAATTACAAAACAATTAGGACGGATCAGCAACGAAGTCGCTACCCGCTCTAAACGCAGAAGGCAGACAACGCGATGCCATTATAGCACATCAGAAAAGGCTCTACGGGAACGACCACGCCAGTGGAGTCAACAGTCGGCAATCGGAACATCTCCTCACTCAGAGCATGAGTTAGTCGATGAGGCCACAAGTTACCAAATAAACATATTTGGACTCTCGTTAACGAACCGGCAAGATTCTGGAATCCCAAACTTCCGAGAGTAGAAGCTATTCTATTTAGGTGTCGATATCACGACGCGCGCTCAGGCCGGTGTTAGTGTTCAGGCAGAACCCAACCTCGCAGGTAGAATCATTGATTTCAAGACTGTCAGCGGGTTCTCCGACTGAAAATATAACAGGCTAAATCGATGACCTTGGTACAGGACCATGCGCCCAATTTGGAAGGAGAATATGAGACCTTCCTTGAGGAAGTGCAGTGTGCTCTGTCTGAAATGCC